CCCCCTCAGTCTCCTCTTTTCTAAGCTGAAAAGTCCCAGTCTCTTTAGCCTCTCTTCATATAGGACCTGTTCCAAACCCCTAATCATTGTAGTTACCCTTTGCTGAACCCTTTCCGAGGCCAAAATATCTTTTTTGAGGTGAGGAGACCATATTTGTACACAGTACTGAAGATATGGCGTACCATAGTTTGATACTTCCCCTCCTCCTTCTTCCCTTGGCTTCCCCCTTCCAGCTCCTTCTTCCCAGGTTTCCACTTCCCCTCTCCCCCCCTCCCACTTCCTTTTCCCAGTCTCCCCAGAGATTAATCCCCCCCCCTAGTTTTGTTAAATAAAGAGAGTTTCTATTTTTGAACACACATGCCCTTTATTTTTTACATCAGGAAGGGGGGCTAGGGAGGGGTAAGTGGAAGGAGGTGAGGGAGGAATGGGGCACGGGCCCCCAATGGGGAGGACTGGGGTGGCTCTGCAGGCTCCTCCGGGTGGAAGCTCTCCTGCAGGGACTCCTGGATCCGGACAGCCCCCGACTGATACCGCCAGATGGCAGCCTGCAGCAAGTGCAGCCGGGCTGATGGCCCAGTGCTGTGATGTGCCAAGTGAGGGCACTCAGGGCACTCCAAGACAGGACTACTTTGCTGTCCCTCATCGAGTTAGACAAGCAAGCGGGGAACCCTGAGAACTGTCTGTCCAGGGGGGTCAGATTCCTTTAAGCATAGCCCTTGGCTAGCCTGAGGCAGCAGCTCCACACTCTAAGTCCTAACCTGATGCCCTGCCGGCACTGGTTCTGGCCAGCCTTAACTTCGGTTCAGGGTCCACTCAGTGTGGACATTCTATTTCGAATTAGCAAAATTCTAATTCGAATTAGTTTTTAGGTCTAGATGCACTAATTCAAATTAGCTTATTTCGAATGAACTAATTCAAATTAAGTTAGTTCATATTTGCTTGGGGGAAGGAGGGGCAGTGCACAAAGCTTCCCTCTCCCCTTGGTGCCCTGAGCGGACAGCCAGCCACTTAAAGTGAGGTGTGGTTGCTCTGAAGCAGCTGGCTGCACTGTGCCTGAGGATCCCATGGGCTGAATCCAGCCTGTGAGTCATATCTTGATGGCCCCTGGTCTATAATGTGTCACAGGACTCCACAATTTTTTTTTCTTTTAGAAAATTGAAGCAAAGTTCTGCTGTATGGTAAATTATAAATGGTTGGCTATTTAAGATGTGCCAGTTTTCAGTAGTTTCCACCATCAAAACAAGAATGTGTTTTAAAATATTTCCCCTCCTCTGTCCCATAGCTTATGAACAAGCATAATAAGATGGCAAGAAGAAAAACTCCTGTCTTGGAAAAATTATTTGAGTGAAACACAAGAGACTGTATGAAATCTAGTAGGAACTTCACAATTTCTATCAATTGTGTTTTTTTAACCAGGGGCTTAGAAAACTGCCTTTATTCTATTAGTTGGTGGAAAAAGGAAACAATATAGAAGAGTTTAGTTGGCTGCAGATCAGCAAGAAGTTCACAGAGTTTGGGAGTTTGGCCACCAGGTGGTAACCAAGCAATGCTTAAAGAACTTGCATTTGTATAGCCTGGAGCCAAGTCCAGCAGGTTAACATAAAGCTTCTGAATGTTCAGTTGCCTTGAGTGTGAGCAAGCTGCCTTTCCCTAGCTTCCGAGGCAGGTGCTTGAAGATCATAGAAAAAACCACTTCCTGGGTGCAGAAATTAGAACTGATACCACACTAATGGGAGCGACACGTACAAAGAAAAGGGGCAGTGTGTTTGTGTTTGTGTTTGTGTGTGTGTGTGTGTGTGTGTGTGGGTGGGAGGAAATCGGCTGCTTTCCACTGGACTTTATTTTCAAATAAACTTTCTTAAAAAACTCAGAACACGTTAAGCAGAGATTACATGTAACAGTACTAAGAAATCTAATTATACAAAATGTACACTGAGGTTCAGGCACATAGATTCATTTTCGGTACTATACATTTAAGTGGCACTAATTACATGGAAACGAAAAGTAACTAACATGAAACTACAGAACAGACACAGCTTGATGGGACTCTTATTTCAGGGCAGTCAGGGTTTCCAAACTATTGGTTTACACCCTAAAGCCATGAACAATCCGATCTCCTTAAAATGTGAAAGCACTGAAATCATTCTGGACTCCACATACAGCCTCGTACCCCAATTGAATGGGATGTATGAAAGACACTCAGAAACCGGGTGGAAGGCAGCACAAAAACCCTGGAGGCAATTTTTTTTTTAACTAGAAATGTTTTCTAGGAGGGGGCACTGGTGTGTGATTATATGTAGGAACTTGGAGAATTCCACTTTCCGAGCCTATTAGAGATCTGAGGACAGTATGGGGAGGAAGAATTTAAGGACTGAATGTTTCACTCTCTGGGAGCGCTCTCTCACACTTTTTATGCTTGAAGAAAGGACAGCTTTGGGTAAACTGTGTGATGGCATACCTCAGAGTGGTAGAGGATAGCTGAGACCCAGCTAGGGCTATTCCCAGACAACAAACCATACAGGAGAGTCCTGTTTCAGAGACACAAAGTCCTACCCTCTCCCCGAAAGGAAACTGTGTGGGGCCATCCAGAAGGGAAGGTTACTCACCCGGTGCAGTAACCGGAGTTCTTCCAGAAGGTTGTTCCTGTAGGTGCTCCATCTTGAGGTGTGCCAGCACTGCTGCTTCTCTAATCAAAGATTTTTGACAGCAGTGCCTCCCCCGCCAGGTTGGCTGTGCACACACAATGCTGGTGAGCGACCTTTGAAATGGCTATCCCTCATGCACAGCCAACCGCCTCCTCAGTTCTTTCTCTGACCTGGAGGTAGTTGGATCTAAAGCAGAGGGGAGGAGAGTGGGTAGTGGAGCACCGACGGGGACATCCATCTCAAAGAACTCCAGTTACTACACCAGGTGTGTAACCTTCCCTTCTTCTTCGAGGAGTGCCCCCATGGGTGCTCCACCTTGAGATGATTACAAAGCAGTGGTCATGCTTGGTGGTGGG